TTTTTTTTTTTTTGAACAATAAAGAGGACATATTATGATGTATTATTACATACATTCACAATTAAATATTGAAATATTTTTTTTTCAAGGGGGGATGAACGTCTTTGGGGTACCGATTTAATATGAATTTGTTCAGCTGCAACATGTAGTGAAACATTAAATTTTTCAGATGTGTATAAGAGTTAGAAATAACTCTTCTCTCTCTCTTTAAAAAAATATTTGTAACATTCATTTATTGTTTTGAAATTACTATTATTAGAAAGAATAATTAATAATAATTAATGTAAAATAAAATTGTATTTTTTTGTCCATTTTGCCACCACAAAAAAAAAACCTCTTATTTTTTTGTTCATTTTGCCACCACAAAAAAAAACCTCGTATTTTTTTGTCCATTTTGCCATCACAAAAAAAAAAAACTTCGTATTTTTTTGTTCACAAAAAAAAAAAAAATCTCGTTCTTTCTATGTACTGAAAATCTGGGGTTTATTTATATTTGATATTACACAATATCTGAAAATTGTTTTGGTTGTAGACCTACTCCTGCAAAGCTCGTGATTTTTATTAAAAATATATATACTATATGCATCAATTATGCAAGGGTTAACATAAATATTTATATTTAAACGAGGGGGTATCGGAGATCACAGATTCCGATACACTGTAAAAAAAAAAAAATTGTAATCGTTAAAATTAAATTAAATTAAATTAAATAATAATTATGATAGTAAATAATTAAACGGGTGATAATTTCTTCAAAATTTTAAATTTTTTAAATTTTTGTAGTTTTTTAAAGAATTCTTTTATCTTTGAAGAATTTTTCTTTGTCTCCACCACATGTTTCTTATTTACTCGAGCGTAAAATCTTACGCTCGTAGTAAAAGTACACTCTTCATTACATTCTTGTACGAAATCTTCTATAAGTCCATCATACCTTACTCCTCTAAGTCCTCTTTCAAATAAATGTTCAGATTCAAATAGATTTTTTGCACCCCATTTAAGACTTTCTAAGTATAATTCCCCTACTTTATTACACTTACCCAACTGTATATACCTTTCATCATTGGCTATGTTGGGTAACTCAGGATTTGTTTCTAAGAACTTGAGTATATGTGGAGTAATTATGGTCTCGACTCCTTTTCTTTCTAGTTCATCTATAACTGATGATTAAAAATTAAAATCGGAAATCAATTTGACATCACTGATGATATTCCATTATAAAAAAAGGAGATTACTTACTTATCTTCATCATTAAATCTGTTCTTGGTCCTCTATTATGAAGTACCAGATCATCTAAAGAAAAAGATGTTATTAAAAAAAAATTTCGGTTGTTTTTACGCAAAAAAAAAAAATATTTTAATATATATTTACCTTCCATAATTTCTATCCAACCATTTGGTTTACATACTCTAACCATCTCATTGATGACATTCTCCCATTCTTTTAGGGAAAGCGAGAACATCATAAATCTCATGATGACATACTCAAATTTATTATTCTCAAACGGTAGACCGTTAAGAATATTATGTTGTTCGAATGAGACATTTTGAGGTTTTATGGTGGATGGAAAAAAAGCGAACGCATCAATACCCTTAAAATTAGATTTTTCATATTTTGTTCCTAATTCCAAAATCCAAGTTCCTGGCCCACATCTTTTGTAAATATTGATAGCGAGTTAGAAAATAGTATTTGTTTATCATATCAACAAATAATACATAACAACAAATAATATATATTTCAACAAATAATAAATATTCTTACCCTATATCTAAAACATCGACACCACTTATTAATAAATTTTTGACAGGAGCCGAAAAATCCTCGGACCATATCTCTCGGTAGACGTAGTGTTGATGATGAGTTCTATCGATCTCGTCATCGTTATATGTGAGTAAGTAATGAATTGTTTTATATAAACTCTGTCGTTTTTGTCGATTTTTGGTTGTTTTTGTGAATCCCATCAATTAAGAAAAAGACTTTTTATTAAACAATGTTCGAAAAATATTTTTGTTGTTTTACTGACCGAGAAAAAAAAATGATTGTTTTGAAATATATATATTTTTTTTTCCACCGAAAATAGGCGTTATATATATAATTATGCAGGAACAAAACCTTATTTACATACTTGATATTGTTTGTTACAATTTATTGTTTCACTCTATTTAGGAATCCTGGGAAAAAAAAATAGAGCGTTATCTTTGTATCAAATTTTGATTAATAATAAAAAATTCATTATAATTTCTAAAAGAAATGTAAAAACAATGTAATTTGTATATCCTTTGAGAGAAATTCATTGAAAGCATTTATAAAAAGAATTTTAGGAAACTTGGCGAAGTAAAAACTTATTTAATCATTCAGGTGACCAAGGTGACCAACTGACCATCCTTTTGCAGATTATTAATTTTTTAGGGGAGATAAAAACTTTTTGTTTTTATAATTTTATTGTTTTGTAAATCTTTTTTTTTTTTTGAACAATAAAGAGGACATATTATGATGTATTATTACATACATTCACAATTAAATATTGAAATATTTTTTTTTCAAGGGGGGATGAACGTCTTTGGGGTACCGATTTAATATGAATTTGTTCAGCTGCAACATGTAGTGAAACATTAAATTTTTCATTGTGGAATTTTTTTTGTTACACAGGACTTTTTTTCGGTAACGGTTCTTTCATAATAAATAGTGTTTGCTTTCTTAATTAAAAAAAAAAAAAATGTAATATACTTTACCTTATTTCTTTCATGTTATGAATTATGAATTTCTTTTCTATTTTGAGAATAGTCTTTTTTTTTTGAAAAAGAGAAATTAATTATTGGAAATAATTTTCATATCGAATGTAATTTTCATCATTTTAAGGGTGGACAGGTGCTTTCTTTTTGGGGAAAAAAAATTTTATAATATGAATTTTTTATGAATTATGAGCTACTGTCTGTAAAAAAAAATTATTTATTCAATTATTAAATAATTTAATAAAAGTTATGTTTAAAAATTAAATGATCTCATCACAAAAGAAAGAAATACGATACTTAGAATAATTATTAAATATTTCTTTTATTTTACGAAAAAATTCTTAAAAAAATTATTATTATATTATTTCACTAATAAATTATTATAATACACAAACAATGTAATATTATTATATTCGCTTAATCAGGTATTTCGGTACAACATTTCACGAATGATGATGAAAAAATTCTTGTGCGGTAGTAATACATTAATCGTCTTTTACGATAAATTATTCATTGCATCATTTAGTTACACCTTTTATTTGAATTTTTTTTAATTTGTGTACAATCTAACCAATAATAAAAAAAAATTATTTTTTTTTCCCCTTGATCTGTTAAACTTTATATTTTTCATGAATTTTTTCGTTAAACGTTACAGAAAATATGAGAAATATGAATATTTCAGATATATGTTTTTATAAGTTCTTTTTTTTTTTTCTATAGGTTTATTTCAATAAAATGTAATTTTATCAGGGTTTAAAATGTCATAATTAAAAAGGAGATATATTTTTTGATGTAATCATAATTTAAAAAATCCTTTAATATTACTTATGCAATAGTTATCCCCAACGAATAGAGATAAGATGTGGCGTATCCTAACTATCCTATCCCAAAATCTTACGATTGGAACGACATCAACGCTATTGACAAATGGCACAGAAGTGTTACTTAGTCAAACTTCTACCAATCGTCTTCTACATTATTTATAATACTAGGGAACGGGAACCGTTGTAAGTCCGGAGCGAAAAACTAAAATTTTGCGATTTAATTGGGTGATCACGTGGCGGACAGAGAAATTCACGTGATCGATTTTTTTTTTCATAGTGCGTAGACATATATTGTCCTTCGCTTCGCTCCGGACAATAAAAAAAAGGCGATCAATATAAAGTTATAAACACTTTTATTTGACACTTTATATCGGACAAATTAAAAAAATTTGAAAATAGTCAAGGCATTAATTTTTTATAATACATTATCAATGAGCCCCCTATAAGTATGTTTAAAAAATATTACACACTCTATTCACTTTATTCACTTTATTGTCCAAATGAAGTATAGGATTCGTCTGTCATGTCATGTAATTGACTAATGAAAATGTAAAATTTATAGAAAATGTTGGTTTATAAGCTATTTCAACATCGCGTAATTAACCAATAAAATTATAGAATTTATAAATGACAACGCTAAGTTTATTTAGAATAGTAAGCATCGTATTACATTATACATTATCTCTTTTTTTTGCACTGCGGCAAATACAAAATATGTTGTTTCTTTCGTGCATGTTGGTACAGTATAATAATGAGAATAAACAATAATAAAAAATCACTGTTACTCAATACATTTAATATTTAATAAAAGTATGAAAAATAATGAAAATAAATAATAATAAAAAAATCACTGTTTCTGAATACATTTAATATTTAATAAAAGTATAAAAATAATGAAAATAAACAATAATAAAAAAATCACTGTTTCTGAATTACATTTAATATTTTATAAAAGCATAAAAAATAATGAAAATAAACAATAATAAAAATCACTGTTTCTGAACAAAAAATAATGAAAATAACAATAATAAAAAATCACTGTTTCTGAATACATTTAATATTTAAAATAAATAATGATAAAAAATCACTGCTTCTGAATACATTTAATAAAATTATAAAAAATAATGAAAATAAATAATAACTGTTGTAGATCTTCTCAATTCTGTACGTAATTGGTTCTTTAAGTTGGAGTCCTTGACTTTCTTTTTTCATCTTTTGTTGTTCTTCCAAGAAATAATTCATTAATTTTGAAATATTTTCCGATTCTTTTTTTAATTTCATTATTAATTCTAATATTTGCATTGCTCTCGTAGAACCTCCTTTTCTCGTTCCATTATGTAAATTTCTTTCATTTCTTTCGTAACGTTACGCATCTCACCCCAATTATTTATACTTTGATCTTCGTAATTATATTCGTATCTGTTCGTATTTCTTTTATTCCACGGTCTGGATCGATTTTTGAATCTATATCCGTTGTTGTGCATAAACATTTGTTCATCCAGGTCTTTTATCAAAGTATTTACTACCGAACCAGCTGTAGTCACATCAAGCTGTTTCCGGTTATCTTCAAAGATTTTAATTTCAGAAACATGGATGAAACTGATGACTGAGTTCTGCATCATCAAAAAGATTAGGTTGAATTCATTTAATAATATATCAATTCAACGTATGACGGAGATTCTTTTAATGGATTTTTAATTTTTCCTTTTGAGTTTTGAGAGAAATTTTCTACTTTTAACTATAAGAATTTCTCTTAAAAGTTATAATATAAACGAGTAAGAAAAAACATTCCAAAGACTGGTTTTCCAATTTATGTATATCATCTATGTTTTTATTCGTTTTTTGATATTTTTGATATTTTGATATATCATCACATATTCATGTTTTTATTCATTTGTGATATTTGATATATCATCACATCATTCATGTTTTTTATTCATTTGTGATATTTGATATTTTTTTTTAAATGTCTTGAGAATATTTCATCTGGCAGATTTTAATATCCACTTAATTTTCTAAAAAAAAAAATATATACATAAATTTTAGCAATTATTTTTTTTTATACAATTATTCAAATATAAAAATAAATACTTTATCATGAAATACAATATATTCAAGTGCCTATTAAATTTAAATTTATAATAATTAATATTAAAATATTAAAAATACAATAAAACTGTAATCAATATATATATTACCTCAAATTGATTTAGATATAAATTTTCAGAAGCGCAAATCACTGATATATTTTTAATATTATACTTCTGAAAGCTTCTTTTAAATTATATATTTTCCCAATTGTGTAGTTTAAAAAATTTCTTAGTTGATTTCAAAAAATTATAATAATTCATCATTATCCTATGTAATTAGATGACATTTTAATAAAATTCATTGTAAAGTAAAAAGTGCTAAAAGATTTACAAGATATTGATTTAAATAGCATGGAAAAATCTAGTAAAATTTGTTATCCCAGATTCTATAAAACACGAAATGTTTGTTCACTTGTTTTTACTTATTATTTTTATTTTTGATTATGTTTATTAACCACAATCATTATTAATTATAAATATTATTAACTATATTTATAATTCATAATTCATATTAGTTAAGAACTTATTTGCTGCTTTCACTAGTATTTCAAATATTTAGCAAATGTCTTAAGAATATTTAATAATATTTGACTATGAGATAGGAGGAGGAGTAGTAACAGCCAGAGAGGTAGTAGCAGCAGCAGTAAGTTGTTCTAATATTGTCAGTATTGAAACATCCAGTATCAGTATACAATATCAATGCACCCAAAAAAACATATAGCATTAAGTATCTGTCAAAGTGTGTATTGTATTGGAGTTATTTTTTATGGTTGTTGACTGGTTAACAGATATTTTTAAATAGCTCGCACAGACTTCAGGCTATCAACAATTTTCAAATCCTTCATTATTATTATTATTGTTGGTACCATCTTCGTTAATGTAATTGTTAAGCATATTAGAACTAATATCTGACAAATTACTGGTATATTTTTAATACTATATTTCTGAAAGCTTTTAAATTATATATTTTCCCAATTGTATAGTTTAAAAAAATTTCTTAGTTGATTTCAAAAAATTATAATAATTCATCATTATCCATGTAATTAGATGGCATTTTAATAAAATTCATAGTAAATTAAAAAGTACTGAAAGATTTACAAGATATTGATTTAAATAGCATGGAAAAATCTAGTAAACTTTGTTATTCCAGATTCTATAAAACATGAAATGTTTGTTCATGTGTTTTTTCTTATTATTTTTGATTGTGTTTATTAATCATAATCATTATTAATTATAAATATTATTAACTATATTTATAATTCATAATTCATATTAGTTAAGAACTTATTTGCTGTTTTCACTAGTATTTCAAATATTTAGCTGTCTTAAGAATATTTCATAACATTTGGCTGTGAGATTGGAGGAAGAGTAGCAGTAACAGCCAGAGAGGTGGTAGCAGCAGTGGTAAGTTGTTCTAATATTGTCAGTATCAAAACATACAGTATCAGTATACAGTATCAATGCACCCAAAAAAACATAGCATTAAGTATCATTGTCAAAGTGTGTATTTTTTTTTTTATATAATTATTGACTAGTTCACAGATATATTTAAAATATCTCGCACAGACTTCAGGCTATCAACAATTTTCAAATCCTTTGTCATTATTATTATTGTTGGTACCATCTTCATTAATGTAATTGTCAGGCATATTAAAACTAAGATCTGACAAATTACTGGTATATTTTTAATATTATATTTCTGAAAGCTTCTTTTAAATTATATATTTTCCTAATTGTGTAGTTTTAAAAAATTTCTTAGTTGATTTCAAAAAATTATAATAATTCATCATTGTCCTATGTAATTAGATGGCATTTTAATAAAATTCATTGTAAAGTAAAAAGTGCTAAAATATTTACAAGATATTGATTTAAATAGCATGGAAAAATCTGTAAAATTTGTTATATCATCCTCTATAGCTGATTTATATGACTGATATAATGATGAATAACTTTCACTTGCTGGAAGAAAAGTTATTGGTAAAGTATCTTCACAAAAATGCCGTCTTTAATTATTAAAAATACTTAATAATATTACAAAACAAAACACGAAAAGTTTGTTCACATGTTTTCTCAAATTATTATTATTTTTTTTATTGCTTATTTATGTTATAATTCATGTTTTGTAGTTTAGACTATTTGCTGCTTTCACTAGTATTTCAAATATTTTTAGCACTTTAAATTTCTTTTAAAAAGAGTTTTTGATGCATTTTTGACTGCTGAATTCCTGAACATATTGTATATGGCAAACTGACACATCCTGATTTACTTCTCATCTAATCTATTGTTCTTGTAGATTGTCTAACTTGGTATGTATGAGTACTTCCACATTTGAATTAATATTCTAAAGGTTAAAAATATTATGAAACATCATTATATTGTACCATTCACTCCAAAAACTACACTACACTATATGTATACTGAATTCAATGAGCATTTCAACTCCATCACTTTCCTTTACCATCATTCTGTCAGAACGTTTGCCATATGAAGTGCAATACTTCAATTCCAAACAAACTTAACTTTATAACTCAATGTTAAACTATTTGTGGCAACTTGATTAATAATTATGCAATGAATTCTTTTCAATTTTGTTTAGTAATACTAGATATATATATTTACGAAATATTTCAAAAAGATTTGACCAATTGTTGACTGATGAAATATCAAAAACTGTTGTTGAGTTGTTGACTGATGGAAAATTGAAAACTTTTGTTGAGTTATTGAGCGATGGAATAATATTAAAATCTGGTTTAAATGAGTTATAATTCATCCAAGTATATATTTAGATAAAACCATATACTGATTTCTACAGTGGATCAGTCGTTTTCATTTAATATATATGAATTAAATTAATACTGAATACAAATAAAAGGTATAAAATAATAGATTTCAGTTTTGTTACAATTGAATTATTATAATTGATTGATTAAAGACCACCTAATTATTATATTATGATGCATCTCGAATTTTCCAGAAATTTGAGTAAATTGGATGGTTTTAAGAAATTTTTTTTGAAAGGAATAGGCTTTCTTACACCTTTTTTTAGGCAGCAGTCTTTTGATTCATGTAGGCTGGCCTACACCTGTAACACTTTCTTGGTAATTTTGTTAAATTTGTTGTATGTTCAGACAACTCATAGCAATATTTTTTAAAAAATATCAAATAGGCATAACCGCATAAAGTTGTATAAATGATTCTACAAATAACATGCCTAGTATATGATAAAATGGAAATAAAATTTAGCATGTTACATGATAAGAAATGAGGTATGCCATAATATATATAGATATAATTATGTGGTAACAATTTCCTCTTCCTTAAGATTTGAAACTCCTTTGAAGCTAGCAATAATTCTTCAAATGTTTTTTTCATATCTTTTCCATTACATTAGTTGACAATAAATACTTGGTATTGTATATATATCTAATCTGGACCTAATTTCTAAATAACTGCTGATACATTCTAATGGCCTTAATGTAAATACAATGTTTTGTCTAATCGGTGTTGAAGGAAATAATTTATTGTATTTCAACCTTTCAACCAATCCATTGCAAAGTGGCAAATTTTTAATAAAAGTTTAATAGAATTTTGAATATTTTTAAATTATTCACAAATCTGGAAACCCAGAATTTTCTTGGATAACTATGTAGAGAAGAGCTAATTATTAGCGATTTCTGAAAGAATTTATGCAGAAATCTCAATTATTTAAGTAGTTTTCCTATGAATAAGGGTTTGTGTTCAATTAACTTTGAAATGTATTAACATCTAAACCTTTTGAATTTTCCTAAAGGGTTTTTAAATAATTTAATTATGCAAAGGCTATAAAGCACGTTTATTACTGTTTAATATTGTATTGAAAATGAAAAATTTTGAGCATGAATGGTAACAACCATCTGGTGAGAATCCATAGAAAAATCACCACTAGCGAACTATTAATTGCCAGGTATCTAGCATAACTTTCTCTGCTAAGCACCCAGCAAACCTATTGAAAATTAATCACTACCTGCCAAGAATTATAAAAAAATTTTTCTTAAAGCTTATTTTAAAAAATATCATCAAAAGATGCTCCATTGTGTTTAAATCTGAAGATTGTACAGTTTCACCATTGATAAATTTAGCAAAATCTCTCATAATTATTAACCATTAGTAAATTATGTTATTTGTAAATTGACAATTAATTAATTCGTGATCCGCCAATAAACCATAAAAATTAATTAGACAAATTTGGTGAATTTTATGTCGATCATATAATAAAAGATTCCAAATTGTAAAAATTGATCATGTTATGAGTACGACTTAAATGCGTAATACAAAAAAAAAACTCCTTATTATAACGTGACAAATCCTGAATTTTTATTTTATGAATTTAATCGAAACGATTTAAAAAAAATTTTTTGACTTTGCCTTCCCGGAATGTGAGATTCCAGGTATTTTATTGATTATTAAGAATGACGAAAAACGACAATTTTTGCCTCAAACTACTTAAAAACCAGCTATAGCTTGTTCAGATAAGTCCTTTTTGGACTTTGCGGCAAATCTTGCTATCCAATTATTAATAGAAGTTACTTCTGGAATTTCAATGTCTCGTGCTAATTCTCCGTTTTCTTGTTTTTCAACTAGTTTATCTCGCATATTATGCCCATTCATTCTTCTGTTTTTGTGAACATTACCATCCAAGAAGAACCGTTCTAATAAAGCTATAACTTGAGGTGCAATTCTTTTTCCTGAACCCTTTTTACCATATTTTTGATTATGCTTTAGTGCCCAACCACATAGCAAAGGAAATGCACTTACGTTGCTGTTTGATTTACAAATATCAGACTTTTCTTCTTAAGCGATATTGAATATTTTATAATTTTTTATTTTACCTGTCATATGACGTATTGGTTATATTACCTAAGATTCCCCTTCGTTATCTATAATAGATTCTTGTTATTAGGCGCTTTTATACAATTGACTTTTTAAACTTACCAATTTTTTTGGTTTGCATTTCTTTAGCTATTTCATTTTCTAAAATTTCAATCATTCCTGCACGATTTTCTTTTTCATTTGTCATTATTCCTCGATTTTCTAATTCCTCTTGCAGTTGTTTTACCTTTAGTCGCTTTACACCAATATCTGGTAAATAAATTTGATTTATCAATTATCTGATTTTATTTGTATAATGTAATCAAGACACTTACTTGAACTATGTGGCATTGGTATCTTCCAAGAGGATTTTGATGTCGTGTGCAAGGAAATTTGAGGTTGCGGCATGTGCATTCCAGCTTTCGCCCAATTGGATATTTGATTTGGAGTAAAGGTTTTCCATTCGCCAATTTGAGGTAAGGTTCTCGCTTGTATACACCCATCTAATCCTTCTTCTTCTGGCCACCTCCATTCAAAATAATTCGAAATTCCAGGAATTGTTTTTACTTTATTTTTTTTATTTTCTTTATTATTTCAAATAGTGTGTTAAATTATGCATAAAATCAATTCTCTAACAAAAAAATTATTTACCATTATCTCTATCAGGTTCTAAATGTGCTATACGAATTCCAGCAATATCTTCAATTGCTTCTTGAATATTTTCACCATTCCTTATTTCAAATCCCAATTTAACACGCCTTTTGATTGATTGTGAGATCTATTTAATTCAACAATTAATAAAGTAAGAAAATTTTGAATAAATTTAGAACTTTTATATACCTGTGCATGATGGGAATCGATAGAGGTTTTCGCCTCTCCTGCTTCTAGAAATACCCATTTATTTACTTTTATATCGTACCATTCTTTCCAATAACTCAATATTATCATCAATTCAGAATTGTGATAATGGGGACCATTGTCCGAAATGATGCTTATCCATTCAGGCTTCTTATCAAGAACTTCTATTACCCCATGTAAAGATGAAGCAGTAAACCACGCGTCCTGCTTTGCATCACACGACCAGTGATCAAAAGCTTCAATACGGATTTGGCTGTTACTGGATTTTGTATAAACTAGAACAGAATGCAAAGACCACCCTTTTTTACCATAAAAATCTTGCTTTGTTTCTCTTGCAGTTTGTGGTAAGATTTTCATTTTATAATCTACTAAGAAAATTGCCCTTTTTTCATCTAATTCTAATATTTTTTCATTGAATTTAGAATTCAAGTAAACTTTTCTTGTTTGATGTGATAGTTAGTAGATTAGCTTTTCTTCATATATTTTCAAATCGTCAAGAGAATTCAAGCCAATAATTTTTTTGAGATCATTAAAGAAAGTAAATAACTCTTTACATTCATTACATATTTGAGTATGTAATTTATCACACTTTCCAAAAGCGTATAGCAAGCAATGATTAATGCAAGGATCATGTCTGGTTGTACCATTTTCTGATATTGTGAACTTTTGTTCATATGATTTTTTAAGGTAACGTTGTAAGTTCTCAGCGCTTTGAATGAAATTATTCTAAAATTATTTAGTTAATAAGTTGTTTGTTTTGTATATCAATTATTAATCTAACTTTACCTGAATTTCCATCAAACTAACTTCTTTTTGAATTAGGTTTTTCAAATATCCAAATACTTTGTATCCATAAGTATTACAAATTGCACAAATTCCTTCCATATCTTCTCGATATTGGTAGCGATTTTCTTCCAACTTACAATAAAATTTCGTTCTTTTTAAACCATTTGGATATGTTTCCTGAAATTTCTCCCAAAGTGCTTTTTTTGTGTTTTTTAGATAAAGAACAGGTAATTGAGTTTTGGCATCTGATTTGTAAGATGACATAATAACGTTTGCTTTGTCTTCAAAAAAAATGCTAAATTGTTCCAGTTTTTCTTGCGATAATTTAGCTACTGTTCTTATAGGTTTCTCAATTTGCTTAGCGCCTGGACCATTTAATCTAGCATATTTGCGAGCATCAAAAATTGTAGTAGGAGCGACCTATATTGGAAATTAATAAGTAAAATTGTAACAAAAAAAAAAAATAACTGGGTAAATCAATAAACTAACCAGTAAGTTTGTCCTAATTTCTTCATATGAAAAATCATCCGCAATTATTGATAGAATTCTTCTTTTTCCATCAATCCCTTTTTTGTTTACTTTTAAAGATTCGTTAAAACAAGACCAAAATTTATTCACAATAGGATTAGGATTGTCATCTGGGAGAGACATATCAAGAAAATTATTCTCATACAAATAGATAAGAACATGCTTATCATTAATTGGATTTTCAGCTTTAGTCCAAAATTTCTTCTAAAAAATTATTTCGTTATTAATAAAATAAAAAAAAATTTTTTTCCAAAGCAATTATATAACTCACATCCGATTTATCTTTATCAAATGGTGTAATATTAGTACATCCAATGCTACGTAGTAGTGCTTTTCAAGCACGAAATTCTCTTTCTTTAAATTGATATTCTTCTGGATATATATTTTCAAGAGCGCTATATAGTTCTATTATATTGCATTTATACTTTTTCCATTTAAGTAAAAATTCATACCAAGGGATGCTGGCAGGGGTAAACTTATATAAATGTTGTTTATATAATTGTGTCATCATAATTTCATTGTTCCATTCATTAATTGTACAAGAAGGCGTTCGAAGAATATTCACTAGATTTTGAGTCTTTTCATGATTAATACCAAATAAAGTTTTTCCATCCTAATTTTGTAGCACTTCAATTTTTTTCCAAACTTCTTTCTAGACTTCATCTGGATTTTTTCCGCTATATTTTAATTTAATTCGCTCATCTTGGTATAAAGCCACAGAACAATGTCGCTGATGAATTTGCTGTACAAATAATGTTCGAATTTTTTCTTCACCAACTCTATAAATGAAAGAAGACAAATATCCCGGACCTACATATCCCAAATTCTCCTGATCTGAAACTCCAATCATTCCAATAAATATTTGTAAATTACCGACCATTATTGTAAATGGTTGAAAAGGAATATCATCCAAAATTCGTTTGTTAATTTCCTTATCATTAAAACCACATATTAACGGACCAGAAAATCTTGTTTTTGAACTGAATAATATGTGGTATAAAAAGTTAATCGCACCAGAGGGAGTATCGTAAACAGAACTTGTAATGCCATTTGCTTCACAAATATAACCAGGTTGAAAGGCAGCAACTGAAGTTCCTTTAACTACAGTAATTATAAAGTGAGTTTTATTAAGTGTGACAAGGGTTTTCATTTCTAAGCGTATAGGATATAATATATTGTCACGTGTCTTCCACCAGAAACGTCCAAATGCTCCAAAATGTAGTTCTTCATCTAGTTTTCCTACTTTTATCAATGAAACATCATATTTTTTACACTTGTTCATTGTTATAAACGCGGTTTTTAAAGGCTAGTAATTTTAAGAAATGAGAGATTCAGACGCGAAGCAAATTTTCATATAACAATTATCACCGCCGATCATTAATAAATTTATCAAATTTTTTATGTTTCACAGGCGGATCACGAATTAACTAATTTCTTTATACTGCTATTAATAATTTGATTAACCTTATTGGACAGGCTATTCTCAAAGTCTGTAGGGTATTTTAATATTGCAAAGACAACTCCTTCTATTTTTCGTTGTTGATCAATAATTAATTTCTGGGCTTCCCATAATTCTTCAGCCCAGATCTTATTATGAAATTCAACATCAAGATTTTTATGAGTTCCAAGTTTAAGCAAACTCAATTACACTTTTATAGGTCCCAATCCATCTTGGATTATTTATTAGGTGACATTTCTATTGTAATCATACTAACTGGTATTCCTATAAGTGACTTGTAATATTGAAATTGGCTCAAAATCTTTTTCATTTTTCAAAATAATGTAAATTTCATCATCAAATATATTATCTATACTTTTAAATAATCAATATTGATGAGATAGTAAAATATGTTTATTAGATACATTTTCTCTGTTGGGTTTAAAAAATTTTTTTTAAAAGGAGTTGGATGGCTATTTTCTTTACTTAAAAGACAATCTTTAGATTAGTGATTTTCCAGCCAACACTGACAGCATCGACCCAAATACTCTTTTTTAATGTTTGGATAAGTTTTCAACCTTTGCTATTTAATTAGTATAGTATATTCAACTATAAAAATTTCTTAAATTTCTTGTTTCAAAGCTTTTAAATTATTGTTGTGACTTGGCTGTGCAACCCAATCACATTTTTTAATATAAATATTATTATCTCAATAAGAAAAATTTGATCTAATTGAATCTAATCCTAATATACCTATTAATAATCTGTAATTATTAATTCTTTTGTAACTGAGTAGAAAGGTCATATATTCTGAATTGGCAACTCTAAATGAATTTAGTCTTAAGTTTGAATAGCTTATCATTATATAAAAATCAACAAAAATATTTAATTACTGTAGCATAATAAAAAATTGAAAATCAAAATAGTTTGTTCAAGAATTAAGATTCTGGAAATAAATCATAATATGTAAAAAACAATACTAAAGAATGCCTAATACTTGATTTTTTCTATAGTTATGAAAAAAGTACTATATTATTTGTATCTTAATTTGTAAAATATTAAATCTGAACATATTGCTTTCACAAGTCTTCTCAATAATGATGTTCCAATCCTTAATATTTAATTTCTGCTAATCTGTCTGGAAGTAATTCAAAGTTTTTTGTTATATAAGATTTTTCAGTGAAATTTTGTACTTTTCTTTTTCCTGAACAAAACCTGCTATAAATCTGCTATAATGGAAGTCTTCGTCGTGTACTTCACTTGGGAAGTCATAGTTTGATACAACTATATCACGGGAATTTACAGGAGGTGCGTTTGTGTCATTTTGAAGGTGCCTCAGAAGTCAGAAAGCAAATTGTTTATTTAAAGTTAAAAAGTACATATTAAATTATTTAAAGGTAGTATTACTTTTTCATCAAGATTTAGAGTGATTTATTTGTTTGTCTTACTTGTCTTATCAAATTCCAATGACAAATTATTTTAAAAAAATTCTTTAGAACAAATTATTATCAACTTCTTCTGGATAGTAATAATTAGCATCATCTAATTCTATGTTTTTATGTTAACTCTTTCTTGCCAGAGTTTAATAAATATTCATCCTTAATTATCATACTCATGTTGAGCAAATATTGATAGGACCAATAAAATATACTGTATATTCTAGTTTCTTGTATTAAATTATCAATTTCAGTTTGGTACTTTAAAAGATTATTTTACTATTTGCTATCCAAGAAAAGTTATATGAACTATGTAGCAACTAGACCCCAATTTAATTTACTCAATTTCATATAATAATGCCCATCCATTTATTGGAATTATATCAAGAAGAAAATTTATAGTATAGTTAAATTAGAATGTCATCTATGATATCCACAAATGGTATTGAAATCTAAGGTGCACATTCCAAATACTTTAATCATAAACAACCACTTTTCTATATAATAAAGGTAGCACATTGCATTATCTGATATAATTGCCAACATTTTATTTGGACTTTCTCTTTTTGATAATTTTTTCCAATTACTTTAGTTACATAATTACTAGTATGAATATATTCTGTCAAGTTTACAAGTTTATATAAGTATTTCTCTCTTGAAGGGGTTATTATATTGAAGTTTCACATATTTTGTCTTGGAATTCAATTCATTGTCCTTCATATTTGGCAACTTTATTTTGCATTTCTTCCACTTGGTTTTCCATTGCCCAGTATTTGATTCTAGTGCAAGAAAGTCATTTGTTAATAGTATTATATTTTTCAGTTATTTCTGATAGTTTTTTTCTGCATGTATAAAGGATGATAATATATATTGATATATGTAGCAGATGTCCAGCTATTGAATGAATGTAAGCATGAATATGCAATACCTATGGCTAATTACACTAATAGTAACTTACAATCCTTCTAGTAAGTCAAAAGCTGTTATCAGTATATACGCTTGAATTCAACAGGTATATTTCCCCATGGAAAATATGTGCTTACGAAATCTTCCATCTTCATATTAAAATGCTAAATTATATCAAATATTATTGCACCTTTCCAGAGTTCTAATAATGTATTATTAAAAAAAAAATTAATAAAAAAAATGATAAAATAAAATTAAATATTATTTAGTCACTTACTTTTATAAAATAGAAAAAGAAACATTGTTTCAAAAAAATTTACACAGGGAGAAATATATATATATAAGAATGGTAATGTTGCAGATTTTGCATAATTTCTCTTATAATCTCCCTGAAATCCATTATAGCATTATTACTTTATACATCATGTATCTTTAGTTTAAGATGGTATTGTTTCTCAAGTAATAGGTTTGTAAAAGATCACTTGAAAGAGACAGGTTGTTTCTGCTGATTTATTGGCAATAAAATATAGAGAAAATGCTTTTAAGCATTCATATGGTAAATTAAATATATTTATGCTTGAAATATCTAACAATAAATGTTTTGTGTTGTAGGAATTTCAATAGTCTTAAGCCTTAGTAGATGATGGCCTGTTTCATATTCACTTGGGTAGAATAAAACAATAAATGTTTTATAGCTTTTTTAATAATATTCATTTAACTGTAAGTAAACTATCTTGAATATATTTAAATATAGAAATTCAAATTCATAGCATTTCTTTCAATGTTCTCATCCATGTTAACATGATTTTATGAATTTCTATTATCTCATCAATATTTATGGTGTGAAATTTTTCAACAAGTGATACCCATTTATTAAAAGTATACTAGAAAGTAGAGACTGAGATAAAGAGGAGACTGTCATATTCCCAGCATCTTAAGCATCTGCCTATGAATCCACTTTAATATTGGAACAAGGATCTAAATCTGATCATAATAACCATATGAAACTTGTAGTAACTTGTATATAATTACTATGTTTGTGTCATATTGCAACATTCTATCATCTTGGTATATTTTGACAGAATATAGAAGACATTTTGTTGATATATTCTACTCTATTAGATGATGTTAAGTGTTGAATATTTATAAAGCTTTATATATTTTCCATAAATAAATTTTTAAAAATGACAATAAAAAACAATTAGTTTGCAAAGTTTATTCATTGCTGTTATGGTCCCTAACAACAACTCTAACAACTTGTGCATTTCTTGTTGTACTTTGACTTACAAATTGTTGTGTTCTTGACTTAGATGTTTTTGAATAAATTATCACATCATCTAGATATACTAGGACAAATTTTTCTTTGATCCCATAGAACTTTATCCATTGTTTGTTGCATAATCCAAAGGGCATAACTTTAAACTCATAAGTACCAAATTTAGTAAAAATTGTAGTACAAATAGTATTAACCTAAAGAAGGAATTATATCTCTAGCTGTTATGAACTTGTGATAATCTCATGTCTTTTTAGTAAATCAAATCTTGTCTTCCAATCAAGTTTCAATATTTCCCATTTCTATTTAAATTAAAGTTCTTTAACATGTGAAATATTTGTAACAAGTTTTTTTGTATTTTGTTTGATTATTATATTGTCTTACTAACTGACTAAAAAGAATATAACATCAATTATTTACAGTATATCCAAATACTATATTTTATGAAATTATACAAATATTCATTGTGAGATATTCTAATTATGCTTATTAATGCATATACAAATATAATATGTAGGTTCTGTGTTTTCCATGCCGCATTTATTACTGCTGGCATTATCTTTTCGGTTCCCACTAAAATCAGTATCCAGTTCGCCAATTGGGTTAAATGTTGAAACAGCCATCTCTTCTGTTGATTGAGAGAAGTACCATCGGAGGATTGCCGATGTTGATCGTATATAATAGGGCAAGAACATCCCATCCGGTGGCAACTGCATATATAATAATTAATGTATGGTTATTGTCTTTCCATTTTAATGTCTTTCGTCAGCAGTAGATCTGGTTTGTTTTGATATTATGTTAATAATTGATTGATAGGCTTCATTTACATCAATGATTTAAACATGTTTAAATACTTATTCTGTATATTATGATCTTTCTCAATATTGATGTTTTCTTTTTTATTTATGGAATCATATTTTCTAATCTGGTAAGAAATTTTGGAATACTAGTTGATTTGTTAATTTAAGATTGGACGGTCATTAATCAATCATAGAATCATTTAAAACTTATGGCTGTAAATTTAGTGAAATGATATTATAGAATTTTAAAGTAAGTTGTTATTATAAAGGCATTTATTTTTTAAATTTAATGATTAGAATCAGAGTAGTCTTTTTTTAAGCAATGAAAAAAATTTCAGGTAACTGTAATAAAAATTAGTGTACTCTTTTTTTTGAGGTACCAAGTGAGACCTTATTTATAGCAAGTATGGATTTTGTAATTACATAATCGGCTGTACTGCATTTGAGGCTTATGAAGGCTTTTGTAGTGTTTAGAAGTAACCCGAGTAGTCTTTACATGTGATAATACATTTATTTCATTATTCGAAAATAAAAATTAATAAATATTAATATTAGTAAAAACAAGTATTTATTTTCATATTATAATAATAAATATATTGTCAGAAAGAGGCTGTAATTCGGATAAATTGAAGCTTAGTATTTGTTTTAATTAAGCAAACAAATATATGAGGCTAAGACTGATGGGGCTGATGCAAGGTTAGTCATTAACCATTAATTGTGGCACAATAATATAATTTATCAAATTTTGTGAAAATTTGATCCTGTATAAAGGGTTAATTAAATTTTTTTATTATCTAATTGGATAATTTTTTTTTTTTTACTCTGACGTGTTCGTAATTTAACTTTTTTATTGGAAATCAGAAATCAGAAAGAGATTTTTTAATTGACATTTATAAATGATTTTCAATTCCGCAAA